ATAAACAATTACAATGTATATTTTACTCAAAATATGTTCTCAAAATGTTCTCATTCTCAAAATGTTCTCTCAATTTCAATGAGAAATTCAATGAAAATATTGAATAAATGTTGAATTATTGAATGGCACTTTTTTTTTATTTTATATAACCGAGTCAATTTAAATGAAAACAAGCATCTATAGACAATATTTGGGATTTTGGGTGTCGTTCTTTTCAAACTACTTCCTGCTGGTAAGGGGCACTGTCATGGGGGATTCGAAGAAGATTCAGAAATCCTGGCTGTAGTCCTTAAGGCTGCTTTGTCCAGCTGTTTTGAATGTGGGATCACCTGGTACTCTCTTTCAGGTGGTCTGGCTTGATCAAGCCACATTAGTCTGGAAGGAATCCATATCTTTTCATTTCTGTGGAAACAAAAATAGAAATCCTTTTCCCCAGTAACTTGTCCTCGAACTTAGATTTTGGAGTCAAAGTATTTTTTCTTTAATTTAATTTATTATTTTACATGTGGATCCCAGTTCCCTCTCCCTTCCTCCCTCCCTCCTTCCTTCCCTTTTGCCCTCTCTGCCCTCTCACAAGCACTCTAACCACCCTCCCCTCCCATCCCCCTACCCCAATTCCATATGTAGGGGAATGCCATCCAGTTGGGGTCATGTAGATCTGACAAGTAATGTGAAGTAGGGAATAGGGCTTCTCTCCTGTCTCTAGATTAAGGCAGTTATCCCTCCATGGGGGGTGTGTTCGCAAAGTCCTTTTGTGCACCAGGGATACATCCTGGCTCCACTGTCTGAGGTCCCTTAGACTGCTCAGTCCTTCTGGGTGAGACCCATATTCAGGGGGGCCTGAGTCAGTCCCATGCTGGTTTCCCATCTATCAGTCTGGTGGCCCCTTAGTTCCTCCTTGTTCAGGTAAGCTGTCTCTATGTGTTTCTGCAGCCTGGTCTTGTCCTCTCCATCTGCATCTGGGTTCTACTTCGACTCAGTGTTTATGTATGGGTGTTTGCTCCTGTTTCCAACAGGCATTAGTTGAGGGCTCCATGGATAAGTTAGTTGTTGATCTCACTCTCCAGGAAGGGCATTTATGGTAGCCTTTCCATGGAAGCTCAAATTGTTAGTTGGCAGCAGTCTTGTAGTTCTCTAGTCCTTTCTTTGTGTTCAATTTTATCTTCAAAGCAATATTGGCTCCTTCTTTTATGCTCTCTCTCTCTCTCTCTCTCTCTCTCTCTCTCTCTTTCCTGTCTTCTATTCCTAACCAGGCTCAATCTTCCTGGTCGCAAGTGTTTTCCTTTCCTCCCCCTCATTTTCTTCTACTTTTCTCTCCATTCACTGCCCCCCTTCATCCCTTGAGTTCTGGAGGACTTGTCCCTTAACAGTTCTGTGATGAACTTTATATGAATCTCTTAGAATACACCTTGTATCCTAGTTCCTCTGGTGGTGTGAATTATAGGATGGTGGTCCTTTGATCTAGGTCTAAAATCCATATATGAGTAACTACTGTGTTCCTCTTTTTGTGACTGGGTTACCTCATTCAGGATGGTTTCTTCAAGTGCCATCCACTTGCCTGCGAATTTCAAGATACCATTATTTTTTTCTGCAGAGTAGTATTCCATTGTGTAGATATGCCACATCTTCATTAACCATTCTTCAATTGAGGGGCATCTAGGTTACTTCCAGGTTCTTGCTATTACAAATAGTGCTGCATCCATGCAACAAAGACATCTATTTGACTATGTTCATAACAGCACTATTTGTAATGGCGCTCATTTTTCTTACATTATTTCCACAATTAAATCCTTGTAAAAGGAAGAAGACAGAAGAAACTGTACTCTGGTTAATTAATTCCATATGTTTAAATAAAGACAATTCATTCAAATATTCCTTCTTATGAACTAGCAGTATTCTAATATTTGGTACTTTATATGCTGCTTTTCAAAACTGTTTTTAAGGTTAATTTTTACCTTCTATTTACGTATGATGTGTGTGTGTGTGTGTGTGTGTGTGTGTGTGTGTGTGTGTGTGTGTGTGTATGGATATGTGCATGTAAATGCATGTGTTCTCACTGGCCAGAGAGAGACTGGATTCTTTGGAGATACTGCTGCAGGCACTGTCAGCTCCTTAGTGTGGATTCTGGAAACCAGATTCCAGTCCTCTGTAAGAACATTATGCATTCCTAACTGCTGTGCATATTTCCAGCCACATGTTATACTCTCTAATAAACCTCAAAACTATACTATGAGAATTCACCATATTTCAACAAAGACAAGCCCCAGTAAGTTAGTAATTTTCCTAGTATTACATAGATGAGTGTTTGGAATTTTTACCTCTGGTTGTTTAGTTGATCCTTTTCATTAAAATAATAGAGGCTCTTAAAATTATTGGCTTTTATCTTTTACATTTGAATTCCAAATTAATAAACTTGATGTATGAGTATGAAAATTGCTTTTTAGTATATATCCTTTGATAGAAGATGTCATTTGATAAATATGTTTCTCTTATTGGTTAATGAATAAAATTCTGATGTCAAATAGAAAGGCAAGATAGGCAGGACTAGGAGACAAGGAGGATTCTGTGACATGTAGTGGAAGAGAGTTAAGATGTAGGGACATGAGAGGAAGAGGTCCATACCCTCTCTTTGGTAACATAAGGCCATGTAGAAACACTTAGATTAATAGAAATGGGTTAATATTTAAGGCAGAGCTAGTGAATAAGTAACACTAGTAACTGGCCAAGAGCAACAGCTTTATATTTAATACGGTGTCTCTGTGTGTTATTTGGGGCTGACTCAGCAGTGGGACCAGGCTGGCAGGGAAAATTTCTTGTAACAAACCTCACATAACAAAAAGGCAGAAAATTAGAAAGTATTGAATGGTAAATAGCTAAATAGTAAATACCAGTCAATAATAGGGGAAAATAACTTATTTAGCCAACTTTCTGCCATGGATTAATACATTAACTGGAAGTATAGGAAACTAGTAGCCAAAATAAGAAATTTCTAACATTATTCTAATTTGCAAATGTACAAGTAAGAAAGTATATTATGAAAAATTATGAGTTTTAAGAGGGAAAGCTACCTACTTAGAATCTATAGCCAGAGATGTTTTCTTTCAAAGTGAATGAGAAGTATTTTCTCAGGTAAATAAAAGTTGAGAATTCCAGTCCTACCTTTCAAGGGAAAAGGAGCTGGTGTCATCAAGTTAATTATTTAGGTCAAAAACTTTCATCTATACAATCAGAAAAATCTGTCAGAGAAATAGAAAATCTTTTATACAAGTTTGACTTTCTCCTAATAACCAAAACCATTAATGGTTGCAAGTCTCTAATTACAAGGTGATTACTGATAGAAACTCAACTGTTGGTTGCTTTCAAAAACACAATTCAATGGAAAAGACTCAAATATATCAAAAATCAAAAGAAAAAGACAAAATTTTTATTCAGAAATGAGATCAAAGTAGCCATTTTTTAAGTGTAAGAAATAGGACTTCAAGGCAAAATTAGCCAAAAAAAAAAAAAAAAAAAAAAGAGAGAGATAAAGATCACTAAATGTTATTGAAGTGCATATACCATTATGAAGGTAAATAACTACAAAAACATATGCATCAAATGCTGGCACACCTAATTCTATAAAACAAATACTAATGGACATAAAAGAAATGATATGCTTAAATACAGTAATGGTGGGTTATTTCTGTTTTTTTTTTATTAGTAAGTTTTATTTTAGTTAGAAATAATCTTATTTTACATATCAATCCCAATTCCCTCTGCCTCCCATCCTCCTATGCCCCCCCACTGAATCCCCACATCCAATCCCCAGGGAGGGTGAGGCTTTCCATAAGGGATCATCAAAATCTGTCAAGTCATTTGGGTTACGGCCTAGGCCCTCCCAGCTTGCCTCTAGGCTAAGGGAGTATCCCTTCATAAGAAATGGGCTCTCAAAGTCCATTCCTACACTAGTGATACATCCTGGTTCCACTGCCAGAAGTCCCATAGACTGCCTAGTTCTCCTAGCTGATACCCACATTCAGCAGGCCTGGTTTGGTCCTATGCTGGTTCCCTAGTTGTCAGATTGGGGTTCATGAGTTCCAACTTGATCAGGTCAGATGTTTCTGTGTGTTTTCCCAGCGTGGTCTTGACCCTTTTGCTCATCACTCTCCTCCCTCTCCGAAACGATTACAGGAGTTTGGTTGGCTCAATATTTAGCTGTGGATCTTCTGCTTCCATCTGCTACTGGATGAAGGCTTTTGGGTGGCATGTAAGGTCATCATCATTCTCATTATAAGGGAAGGGTATTTAAGGTAGACTCTCCACTTTTGTGTAGATTCCTAGTTGGAGTCATCTTTGTGGATCTCTGTACAATTTCCTAGCACCAGATTTCTCTTTAAACCTATAATGGCTCCCTCTATTGATATCTTTTTTCCTGCTCTCCTCTATTCATCTCCCTATTCAATCTTCCTGATCCATCATGTTTTCCTTCCCCTCCTCTTCTTCCCTTCTCTTTTTCTTACCTCCCTGCCCCTTCCCCTTGCTCCCAATTTGTTCAGGGGCTCTTGTCCCTTTCCCCTTTACTGAGGGACCATGTATGTCTCTCTTACAGTCCTCCTTATTTCCTAGCTTCTCTGGAGGTATGGATTGTAGTCTGATAAACCTTTGCTCTATGTCTAATATCCTTATATGAATGAGTACATACCATATTTGTCTTTCTGTGACTGGGTTACTTCACTTAGGATTGTTTCTTCTAGTTCCATCCATTTGCCTGCAAATTTCAAGATTCCATTTTTTTTTTTTTTTTTTTGCTGAGTAGTACTCCATTGTGTGCTGAAAATCCTTTGACAAAATCCAACACCCCTTCATGACAAAGGTCTTGGAGAGATCAGTGTACAAGGAGCATATATAAACATTATAATAACAATTTACAGCAAGTTGAATACTCAAGTTCATATGAATAACAACAACAACAAAAAAAACCCCACAATAGTTAGTCTTGTTGCTTCCAGTCCTCCTTCATCATGGGTCGCATGCATGCTCCAGGGAAGGGCCTGTCCCAGTTGGTGCTGCCTTACCGCCACAGTGTCCCCATATGGCTGAAGCTGACATCTGATGACGTGGAGGAACAGATTTACAAACTGGCCAAGAAAAGACTGACTCCTTCCCAAATAGTTGTGATCTTGAGAGACTCACATGGGGTGGCACAGGTCCATTTTGTGACTGGTAATAAAGTCATGAGAATCCTTAAGTCCAAAGGCCTTGCCCATGACCTTCCTGAGCATCTCTACCATTTGATTAAGAAAGCTGTTGCTGTCCGAAAGCATCTTGAGAGGGACAGGAAGGATAAGGATGCTAAATTCCGCCTGATTCTGATAGAGAGCAGAATTTACTGGCTGGCTCGCTACTATAAGACTGACTAAGCAGGTCCTCCCACCCAATTGGAAATATGAGTCATCCACAGCCTCTGCTCTAGTGGGATAAATTCTCTTGTGTACACAAGCAATAAAATCACTTTGAATAAATTAAAAAAAAAACAACAGAATAAGCAAAACAATCCTGTACAAAAAAAGAAACTTCTGGAGGCATCATTATCCCTAACTTCAAACTCTACTATCAAGCTATAATAATAAAAATATTGATATTGGCTTAAAAACAGACACATGGACCCAATGGAATCAAATTAAAGTTCTGATATTATTGTACACTCCTATGAACACCTGGTTTTTCAGAACCCCAAAATGTACAATGGAAAAAGGAGAGCATCTTTATCAAATGCTGTGGGAAAAACTGGATGTCAAGTTTGCAAGCAGATCCATTTCTATCACCATGCAGAAAATGCAAGTCCAGTTGGATCAAGAACCTCAACATAAATCCACTTACATTGATCCTAATAGAAGAGAAAGTGGGATGTTGTCTTAAATGCATTGACACAGGTAACCGCTTTCTAAATATAACACCTGTAGCACAGACACTTAGAATAACAATCAATAAATTGGATCTCCTTACTGAAAAGCTTCAGTAAGGCAAAGAATGTGGTAAATAAGACAAAACTAGAGCTCACAGAATGGAAAAATGTCTTCCTCAACTGATGTCAAGATACTAGACATCAGATTACAAAGTAATCCAAATTAAAAATGAGATGCAGTGCTAAACAGAGGATTCTCATCAGAAGAACCTTAAAAGGCTCAAAGACATTTAAGAAATTCTCAACATTGTTACTAGCACTTTCTCACTAGTCTGGTCCCATAGCTGCATCAGTCCCCAAATAACACACAGAGATGCTATATTAATACAATACTGTTGGCCAATTGTTCTTATTGGCTAGCTCTGTATAGATTTTTAACCCATAATTACTAATATATGTATTTCTACATGATCTGATCTTACTAGACTCAAGTCCTCTCCTGAGATCACATAAGACTCACCTACATTTCCCAGAATCCTCCACCTTTTCTAGTCCTACCTATCTTGCTTTTCTATTGGCCAATGGTGCTTTATTCATTAACCAATTACAGAACATATTTACAAAATGACATTTCCCATCATGTCCTCTTTTCTGTTTAAAATAAAAAGAAGGGTTTTAACTTTAACATAGTAAAATATATAACAGAACAGTTATCAGATAAGGACTATAGCTAACAATATTTAGTCCATTACAGTCAGCAAGATTTTAACTGTAGTACCTTCTCTTTTACTTATTTAATTATTTATATTTCTTATTTTACATATTGATCCCAGTTCCCTCTCCCTCCCTTTCCTGTCCCTCCTTCCTATGCCCCCCTCACCACCCTCTCATCCCATTCACCCCCCCCCAACTCCACAGGGAGGGTGAAGCCTTTCAGGAGGGATCAACAAAATCTGTCAAGTCAATTGTAGTATGGACTAGGCCCTCCTTCTTGCCTCTAGCATTTTGGGATTGGGGGCCCAGTGAGTGGAGAGTGAGCTAGGAGAAAGGGAAGGGGAGGAGATGAAAGCATGTGGGACTAGGAAGGTTGAGTCAGGGATGAATAAATAAGAGAAAACAGAGAGAGAGAGAGACAGAGAGAGAAATACCATAGAAGAGGGGGCCATTATATGTTTTAAGAGAAAATGGACTCTAGAGAAATGTCCAGAGACCTACAAGACTGACCCCAATTAATAATTTGAACAACAGTGCAACAGTGGAAAGGCTACCATAAATGCTCTTCCGTGATAATGAGATTGATGACTAACTTATCCACCATTATAGTGCCCTCATCTAGTAGCTGATGCAAACAGGAACAGACACAGCTGAACACTGAGCCAAACTGGAATCCAGATGCAGAGAGGGAGGACAAGACCAGACTACAGAAACCCACAGAGACAGCTGACCTGAACAAGGAGGAGCTAATGGGCCCCCATACTGATAGCTGGGAAACCAGCAATGGGCCAACTCAGATCCCTTGAACATGGGTCTCAGTTAGAAGGCCTGTGAAGTCAAAGGGGCTTATGACAGTGGAATCAGGATATATTCCTTGTGCACACACACACAAAAAAAGGCATTAGCAAGATTTAAAGAAAATATTCCATCATTTATCCTATCTTTATGAGTCTGGGACAAGGCTGGTGGGAAAGTGCTCATAACAAAATGGCACCTGCAACATGGATCCTAAGAACTTGCACTTAAAACTTGACAAAAGCTTAAAAAAAGGGTTTTAGAAACAAAAGAACAGAGACAAGCTAGGCTTCTTGGTAGCAGGATTTTTCTTAGGTGTGTTCTGCTTCTCTACAGACAAGCAGAGACTTGCAAAGCTCCTTTAAGGGAGTCTTCCTGACTCAGCATAAGATGCAATAAACCTCAGGGCTCTTTTGTGAGGCCCTGCTAACAATTGAATGGTGTGTAAGAGTAGCTGGCAATGGCAGTGACCACAACTCCAAGCCGGCAGCATGCTGCTGGATGGCAGCATAGACCAAGGCTGTAAACGTACACCCGCATGCCAATCTTGGAAAGACATTCAATTGTTTGACTGCTGAGGAAATAGCAACAACTACTAAAAGAAATTCTGCTGGGTTAATCCAATTTGTGTATTTTTAAAATGCTTCAACATCCAAATTTAAGTCTAAGGACAGGTTACTGGGGAAAAGAATTTCTGTTTTTGTTTCCACAGAAAATGAAAAGCTGTGGATTCCATCCAGACTAAAATGGTTTGATTAAACAAGAATCCCTGAAACAATGTTCCAGGTGATCCAACTTTCAAAACAGCTTGGACAAGACAGCTTTATAGACCACTACAGCCAGGATTTCTGGATCTTCTTAGCATCCCCATGGTATAAACAGTGTCCATAATCAGCAGGAAGCAGTTTGGAGAATATGACACCTATATTTCCAAATATTGTCTATAAATGTTTGTTTTCATCTAAATGAAGTTGCTTATAAATGGTTAATGATCACAACCAATTACTTTTTAAAGGTAAAAGGGAGATTGTGGTATAGGAATGAATACTTTGCATTGAAATGGATTTTCATTTATTGATACAAATTTAAGGTCAATTTTGATAAGTATACTTAGCCTCTTATTTAGCTATTGTGTTTGCATAGTTCATTAAAAATATAATGTATAATTAAGTACAAATTATAGATAGGTACTTATAATAGTCAAAACTTATACTTAGGTTTGTTAGTTTTTTATAAATATATATTTTGGTTGGGTACGGATTCATCAAATCTTTCAAAGACATACAGAATATGGCATTTAAAATGGTTTAGGGTTTTTCTTGACAGTGAGACCTAATTGCTCCTGGCATTACCACCTGCATCACAAATGAAGATAGACTAATAAGAAACTCGTTATGGAGTTTACTTTCAATATAGCAAGACTAGCTATTTAGGCACGAAACTGCTCTTATTTGGACTGTTTGACTTTATGCTATATAAACTGGACATGCAGGACCCACAGAAAAGTGAATGCTGAAACAAGATGGACAGTACTACAAAGTTCCTGCTTCATGAAGGAGTCTGCCAGATATTCTGCAAAGCAGGGAGAAAAATGTTTGACAAACTGCCAACACAGGTGGCACAGTTCGATATTTCCTGCTTTGCTGAGAAGTCTGCTGATAACACTGTGGCTTATGGGCTGAAGATGGATCTGCAATTACAGAAGAACTTTGGATGATTGTCCAGGTAGCGAGTTGTCTCTGTCATTTTTAGAGTTATATACTATCCTTCTGTGGTCTTTGATGGAGTTGAAGACAGTTATGATTATAGTTTTTCTGAGTTAGGATTAAAGATAAATTCGTTAGGTATAAGACTTTAGACTAACAAAGATAAGATAGATGAACGACTATTTAAATCTTGCTAAATGTTTTTGAACTAAATATTTTTAACTATAGTTCACATTTGATAACTGTTTTGTTATATATTTTACTGTGTTAAAGTTAAAGCCCTTCTTTTTTATTTTAGACAGAAAAGAAGAGATGATGGGAGATATCAATGTGTAAATATGTTTCTCTTATTGGGTAATGAATAAAGCACTGCTGGCCAATAGGAAAGCAAGATAGGTGGGACTAGAAGAGGTGAGGATTCTGGGAAACATTAGCAGAGTCCAGAGAAGATCTCAATGGGATGGGAGTCTGGTGTTCTAGGTAAGATAAGACCATGTAGAAATACATATATTATTAATTATCAGTTAATCTATACAGCGCTAGCCAATAAGAAGCTCTAGCCATTGGACAATAGCACTGTATTAATACAGCATCTCTGTGTGTTATTTGGAATTGATGTGGCTGTGGGACCAGGCTGGCAGGAAAGTGCTTGTAACACAACATCCTAATCCTAAGGGAAATGCAAACCAAAACATCTCTGAAATACCACTTTACACCTGCCAGAACAACTAAGATAAAAAAACACTGAGGATAGGTTATGTTGGAGAGGATATGGAATTAGGAGAACCTTCCTCCACTAATGATGGGTGTGCAAACTTTTACAGTCACTTTGAAAATCAGTATGGAGGTTTCTCATAAAATTGGAAACCAATCTACATCAAGGCCCAGTGACACAACCCACTCTGATACACATACCCAAAAGACACTTGACACCACAAGGACAAAGCAGCATTATTTGTAACAGCTGGAACCTGGAAACAACCTAGATGCTCCTCAACTGAAGAATGGATAAAGAAAATATAGTATATTTACACAATAGAGTATCACTGAGCTGTGAAAAACAAAAGCATCAGTAAAATTGATAACTTAGAAAAAACATCCTGGGAATGAGGTAACACAGACTCAGAAAGACAAACACAGTATGTACTCATTCATAAGGGGATCAACAGATACCCAGACTACTATCCACAGCTCCAGAGAAGCTCGGTTTAACACATGGAGAACTCTAAGAGGGACATGCACATATGGATCCCCCTGGGAAGGATAATTAGATGAGATCTCCTGGGTAAATTGGTGGTGGGGAGATGGTAAAGTGGAGGGGATGGGGGATGAGAACATGAGGAACTGGGT